CAAGGATAGTAATAATACAAAGAACTCGTCTAGAATCGTCCTAATCCTGCATTATAATGGCCTGTCGCTATGCTTAGATGGAGCGATGCACCTTGCACAACATCGCAAATTTAGTTAAGGTCGTCTACATAACAAACGCGCACGAGATTCGTAATTTAAGAAATGGGATCCAATATTAATGTACCTGATTATGCTAAATCTATTCTCAAATTATATAAAATCCGTAAACTTTTAAGTAAGATTCTAAAATCAAGATTCTAAACAAATTGTCCACATACTGTAGGCTGGGTTTTGTTTGTCATCGATGTAAGGTATAGATTGTGATGGGGGTGGTGGTTGATTTTTATGATAAGCATCCATTGGTGCTACCCTCATAAAAGAAAGTTGAATAGATAAGTAAATAATAAGGCGCCAAGTTGCCATCTTGACGGCAGATGCGAGTTGTGATTAGGAGAGTAGAGAGTTCAATTCCTACTCTGACCAGTATTGGACTTTTCCGCTAAGCCCCACCTATTTTGGTAATCCTGCGTATGTGTGAGACATTATTGCTAAGGTCCCACAAAGCGACAGTGTAAAAATATAGACGATAATTGAACAATGTGTATGAATGTATACTGTATACGTAATTGATATAAAATATATAGTTGCTGACTTACCAGCTGTAAATGCTTCTGGAGAATTGATTCTGTCGAATATCGTTTGTGCTGTGCCTGTTAAAATATAATATAGGCACTTTCAAAACATGTTTTAATAATGAAAGTTGTTACAGACCTATGGTCATCGCTGCCACTGGGTTGCGTGTTTAAAATACAATTCAAGAATCTCATTAATGGTTAAATGTGGCGCTGTTACAAAATAATAATAATAATAATAATAATAATGATAATAATAATGATAGTAATAATGTAATAACAATGCCAATAATAGGCCTAATAATAACAATAATTGATGAAAGTACTAATAATAGTACGGCTTCGGGCCATATTTGAACTGAATGTGGACGTTCCGGACAAACGCACCATTTTTTTTTACATGTTCCTTATGGTCATAGCATTCAATTTTAGGTAGAAGCCACCTCATTTGAGGTCATTATGATGGTCATCTTGGATTTAAAAATGTCCATCTTATAAAACCTCCGTTTATCTATATCTCTGCTTCTAAACACATTGGAATTATAATTCTAACATCTAAAAATATGGAATACTATCACCATTTTTTACCTGGTCAAATTGTCACAAATAGGTCATTTAGGATCATTCAAGTTTATTTCCGGTCATATATTGTATATCTTTAAAATTACATAACTGCCTTGTTTTACCTTAGAATCAAAACCAGGCTCTCAGAATTTGTTTTACTATATGAATTACAGTATTTCATTCAAGGTCATTTTGGTGGCCATCTTGGATTTCAAAATGGCTGCCACGCAAAACCTATATTTATCAATATGTCAGCTTTTAAACCACTTAAAATTTTAATTCTAAAGTCTGAAATTATAAATTAACTCTCAAGAATTTATGCCATTTGTGACATGGTCAGATGGTCAAGATAATAAGACGGTCATTTAAGGTCATTCATTGTCATTTTATGTTAAATATGTAGAATATCTTAATTCGTAAATGGTTGTGTTTTACAGCAGAATCATACTTAAGCTCACAGAATTCAATTTTTGATGTGAATTATTTCATCAGAGATCACTATGACAGCCATTTTGTTACCATTGTTATCATTATTATTATTATTATTATAGTGTTTTTTTTTCTTTTGCGCTTTTATACTATATTTGGCCTGTGTAGTTTATTGGTATTTTAACATTTCTTTGATGAATAAAATTGAATTGAACTATAACCACCGGGGGACAAGGGGAAAATATCCATCTGTGGAAAATCTTTCCCCACCCCTTGAAGATGCCATTTTCACCCCCTGAAAGTTCCTAAAAATCTCAAATTTCGTGCATTTCTTGTTAAATATATATATGTATATTGTATAAGAGACAGGCATATAGATTACAATTGTAAGTTTTATGATGATGCATTTTATTGCACTACATGCTGTTTCATGAGGTACTTCCTCAATCATCAGGTGCTAGGCTCTGAATCATCTTGTTTTGATTTTATATTGCTCTGCTTATGTATTGAGCACTGTTGTCAACAGTGAAAGCATGATCTGCTTTCAACCTAATCTGCACAGTATATATATATATATATATATATATATATATATATACTATATATATATATATATGTATGTATGTATGTATGTATGTATGTATATATATATATATATATGTATGTATGTATGTATGTATGTATATGAATATAAGCCTATGTGTATATATATATTGGCCGGAATATATTATATATTATAACATGTATTTATATAAAATATTGTATTATGTACATTTATTGAAAGATTACCTTTTAACATTCTGCTCGTAGATGCAAGTTAAGTAACCTTGTGCAGTGTTTTAATTATTTGAGTCAATGTTTTATTTCCAATGTTTGAACGTGTTTATATGTATGCTTCTTCTTGTTTGGAGGTTATTTTTGATAAAATTGAATTGAATTAAGGACCAGGGTCCTATAGAAATCTATGGTGGCTTAAGAGTATTACAAAATGAATACAGTATTTGAGTTTAAACGTAATTGAATGATCTCTTAATGGACCATAATTAACTGACCGTGTTACAAATGGTACAGTGGTAATTTAACTTTGTTATTCCTCATGTTAATTAGTTCTTTTATTTACTCAGTTTTAAGAGTTTTCTCATTTTCGTTAATGATTTTATTCCAGCTATCAGTTACCAAATTGGTATTCATGTTGAAACGAGATGTCAACTTTCTAAGTTTCCCCACAAATGAATACGAACAGATCCATTTAGTTATATGTTGAACTTTCGAATTTTGGTGTAATTAATTAGTAGTAGAAGTAGCAGCAGTAGCGGCAATAAGCATGCATGTCACTGTTTAATAATAATAAATAATAATAATTGTTATTATCATTATCATCATCATTATTATTAATAAAATAATCATCATCATTACATAGCATGTGATGTAAAAACAAAAGTATACAGTAAGTCAAAACTGTTTCTATAATAGTGTTTACAAAAGGGTGAGATTCATACCTCCAGTACAGTTTACCCAATAAGGTTCACCTGGGGCTTTATCCACTAATTCCCAATAGCAATTGTTGTTATCTTTGTCGCACCTAAACTGTTTATCACCATATGTGTAGTTGGCTTCAGCAGGGATAACTCTGAAAACAACAATAAACATTAAGCCTAATACAGAGTGAACGCCTATGAAGGGGACATGTTGAGAACGTTTATTTTTTTTGTCGAATAAACGCCCCCAACCCCCCCTAAATGACTGTAAAGAAAACTAATGAAAACAACATCATTCTCAACACATTCTATTAATGTTCTACTTCAGTAGAATTACATTTATTCTAACCGGCTTTGGATCAAGAAGTCTAATCACGCAATAATATATTTTTGCGGTAATTATGTGTTGTAGTTTAACAATTTGTCGGGGAGAAAAAACATTATAAGTATTTTTTACATATAAATAGACTCTAATATCTGTCTCTTATACACATCTGCTTTTAAACCACTTAAAATTTTAATTCTAAAGTCTGAAATTATAAATTATAGTAACTTTCATCATCACATGAGGCAAAATGATGGGCTAACAGATTTCTCATAAACTTATATTAACGATTTTCGGCAACCATAGAGATCGAATTGATATGTGTGATGTACCGTAGAAAGTTTTATTTTTAAAAAATGATCTAATATTCGCTGAAATGTACTACAGAAAATAAAGCATTGTCTTTTATGTGTTTAGTTAACTTTACCTACTTAATAATGTCGGGGAAAAAAACAATTTTACATGCTTTTTCTCATACTTTACAAATTATAATAAAAGTAAGTGCAAGCGAGTCATGTATTATATTTAGATCAGATATTTGTGGGCAGAGACACCGGTATCTAGCTATAAATAAGTTTTTCTCTGCCTGTACAGCGGTCTTTCGTTTAAATTTGGTCATTTATGTAGGGCATTTCAACAATTTTCAGTCACTTTCTTGACTTAGGAATTTACATAGCGGACCAAACGTGAGGGGGACCAACCCCCGTAAATATATGTGGGGGACTTGTCCCCAGGATCTTTTCCCATTCCCTTACCCCCGTAGGGAACATTGGACCCCCGCCGTCGTGCAACTCCTGAAGGCACCCCTGGTTTACAATGGGTAATGGCAGAAGAGCTTCCAGAATTGAGATGATGGATACGGTTGATCACTATATTTAACTGCGATTTTCTCGAGCACAACGATCATTGCCTGTTAACAGTTAAACTATGACATTAATTAATAACAAATTGTTTATATTCCATCGCAGTGGTGTGCTTGCTTTTGGATGTGATTTAAAATAAATTAATTGTACCAACTCACCTACTATTCCCCTTCTCATGTTGATCTTTTTTAGCAAAGCCATACTCCATACATAAGAAGTCCCATGTATAAGTGTGTGAGTGCACTTTATACCAGGTGAAATTTAAGTAGTATACAAAGAATCCGTTGTCCAAAAACTTCTCTTTGTCATCAGTCACTAATCGCACAGAGTAATCTAAAACAAAAACAAAAACAAAAAAACAATAAGGCCTATAATGTCACTCAGAAAAGAAGCATTAGTTAATTATGTGCTTTGTCATTGCTAAGGATACTCCATGATTTCTTTTTATAAATGGGGTCAAATTCATATTTTTTAATCGTTCATAAGGAAACTACAGATGGTATGGCGAATTACATTAAAATGGAATATGTGAATGAAAAAAAAAATGCCCCAACCGGGATTCAAGCCCGTAACTTTCTGCTGTGTATGCAGACGCCTTGAAAAACTGGGATACTGTGGCATCATCGGAAATTCTAATCCAATTAGAAGCAAGTTTTTTTCACACTTCTGCACATGCGTTGAACAGCACTAGTTCTCGATGTATAGCAAACAGAGGAAAGGTCAATATGGTATACCCTCATCTTAAGCATTTAACAGGAACACCATGGATTTGCTATGGGACAAGCAATGTATGCAACATTATTTATTGTAATGTAATCAATTTCTATGTGTACTAAAGATTAATATTACAATGGCCTGATGCATTCTCTGCACTTGCCGTGATTTTATTGAATAGAGGAAATTATACATGTTTAATTTTGTGCTTTCTATTCTCACTGGACTATAAATAGCAAAATGCAATCATATTAGGTCTATAGATAGTGCAAGTCAAGTATAGATACATTTGTTCTCGGTTTCTGTTCTAAATTTACTCTACTTTACATTTATGGTTCTAATAGAAGAATAGTCTCAATTCATGATCTTTTGCAACAATATTGAATTTGAGGCCATATTTCCACTTAAAAGTAAACAGCAATAATTATTGTTCTTCAATGAAGGTGGCCAACATGAGGGTGGAGCTGAGGGATATTTAGGAGGTTGATGGGGGAGGGGGCGCTTAAAGGTTAAGGGGTCTCGATGATTAAGTTAGGGGATTTAGCTCGCAAATAAGGTGATATGGGGAGATTTAACTACTTGATTTTTTCGTTTCGAACAATTTCAGTTGGATGGAGGGGATAGCGTTTATTTGGGGGTGGGGGTGCGCACCCCTAGATGCACCGCTATATAACATTCGAAGAAATTGTGCACCTTCTGGTTAGGCTATGTCAGAAATACTGTTAACACAACGTTGCAGCAACGTTAACCAAATTACGTTATAAAAACGTATTTATGGTTGGATTTTTAAAAAAAAACACATTTTGAATACCTAACTGCAGAGGTATTATATCGTAAATTTGTTAGCTGTGTGTAGTTGCTTTCCACTCCCAGGAAACAATAGCGTAATACTACAAGTATATCCTATATTGCCAAGCTTGTTTTCTTGTCAATTAAATAATAACTCTAGTAAACGCTCTCTAGTTTAAAGTTCAAAGGAAATATACATTATACTGCTTATACTACCGGTTTCATGTTTGTAAAGCTTTATATTTCTCGGGTTCTTGATCTTCACGTCATGTATGCCAAGCTGATACACTGTATAGGCTATATTTAAACCATAGAGATATAATAATGTTTAATAGCTCTATGATTTAAACAGAGTTTGTTATTATCAAACAAAACTACAGAAGTTAAACACACCCTTAATGCACCACACGTTCACAAGTTTTTCACTCGTGCAGTCATCGGTTTCCTCCAAAATGCATAGAGAATCCTCATAAGTGCAATTTAGTTTGTAAGATTGCAATGTTTCCAGAGGTTTTCCATATCTGCCAACATAAATAAAAATAAAACGTTAAGTATTTTACAATAGGCCCTCTCGTAGTTTAACTTGCGCATGACTCTATCGAATGTTGATTGAATGACTGATTGGTTAATTGACTGATTGATTAATTGATTGATTGATTGACTGACTGACTTGCTGGCTGACTGACTGATTAACTGACTGATTACTTGATTGATTGATTGACTGATTGGTCCACTGATTAATTAAGTGAATGTTTGAATAATTGATTTACTGAATGATTGATTGATTGATTGATATCGGTTTGTTTTGTTGGCTTGTTTAATTGGGTGGTTGGTGATTGATTGATTGACCTACCTATGGTCTTTTGGCATATCATATGCTTTTTCAAAGCCCAGAGTATGGCATATAGCATTGCCTTGCAACTGTTTGGTTTCTTCGTCTGTGGAGCAAACGTATCCTACAAGGGGCCCATAATTCTTTTCGGTAATCGCAACGTAGCCATCCGTTATAGTGCCATCCAGTGTGCTTCGACCTCCTTCAAGCCTTAATGAACCAGAGTCAACTATACTCACACATGGATGTTCTGTAAAAATAAAACAATATTTTGTAGATTATTTGTAGAATCATCTCCCTATTACATTGCGTCCATTACAACATTTTTATTTCCTTTTATAAATGCGTGCTTTGCCCTAAACCATTGTTTACTAAGAGTTTTTATTTTACCAAGTAGGTTTTCTTTAATGATGTCATAGGAGGGGAACAAACGTACAATTTGACTTACATTTAATATGACTAAAAATGAAATTAAAGCCTGCAAAGTGGCGAATGAGAATTAATTAAAAATCTAACTGCTGAATTAACATTAATTTTGGTTTATAGTTTCTTTATTGATAATACAGGTCTCCCTCCAATTAAAGACCCCTCCAATTAAAGACCACCTCCAAATATAGATCACTTTTCTATGGTCCCAACTTAACAAATGTCTTTTATCTTTATTATTCTAATTACAGACCAGACCAGAGTGTCCATGGTATTTAGCAGCTTTGGTCTGGACTGTAATTATACAGTCCAGACCAAAGCTGCTAAAATACCATGGAGACTCTGGTCCCAGTAGAGGTCATTATATTAGAGGGAGACTGCCTAAAAGCATGTAATAGGGAGCTTTCGATTGCACGACGACGGTAGGACGTAGAACGTAATGACGTCACTAAAAGTCATTTGCGCATGCGACAACGTTAAGGTCACCTCTCGTCCAGTAGATCCTGAAATCTACGTATGCATGAAACGTAGGACGCCAGGTAGGACGGTCACGCATGAGTGATTCCGTTATAGCGTCGTGTCGTCGCACAAATCGAAAGCTCCCTACTATCAAGTTACGGGCTTCAATTTTCGAGGTCACTTGTGCAAACTAAAGAGGGGGGCCTCTTTTCAAAATGAATGCTGTAAATATTTTGAATTGCTACTGTACATTTTTCAACTATGGAATTCGAATTTCTCTTTAATATTTTTTTTTAATTTTAACCATGTTGTACAATAAAATAATATATTGTTACTCACTACGCACGCTAACATCATAATCAAAGATATCGCCAATCTGAATGAATCTCGAAAAGAAGCCCATAATATTTAATACTTTTAATAAATATTAAAAATTGGTTGAATATGACAATTATTATTAATGATAGCCTACTATCGGACTTTGACAAAATATATACAATACCAGTATGTGTTAAATTGGTATGGGATAGATATACGGTCTAATTAAAAACAAGTAAGTTAGGTTGAATCTTATTAATAGGTCCATGGTTGAATTTTTTTTTTTAAGCTGTTAATAGTTTGTAGTTAAATTTTCAAGACTTGTCTGTGTGGAAGTATGAGAGCTGTGCCGCTTTCTGAAACGTACTATTACCATGGAGGTATAAAAATTTTATACCTCCATGCTATTACTATATGTTTAAGAAATCAAGGACGTGTGCCAGGAGAAGGTGGCCATCTCGCACTGTCGCCTGACTGGGATCGTCGGTGTGTGTGTGTGTGGGTGTGTGTGTGCGGGTGTATGGGAGTGTGTGTATTTATGTGTGTTAATCACTTAGTACAGTATAAGTTTAACAGAGCAAGAACTTATCAATTATTATGTGTACCAGTTCGACATCTGTTCCTAAAATGCCACATGAAGATTCCTTATGAAGTAGAGTGATATTGTGTTGGAACAGTAAGGTGTCAATAAAATGCTTTACAAAGGGTCGTATTATATTAGAGGAGAGCGGTGAATGCAAAACTAGACTGTATTGTAAAAAACTGGTCCGCCCGCTATTAAGGTTTGCTTTTTCTCGTTTATAAGGTTCACTAGTCATAGCCTAAAACTCCTTTGTTCGTAGGGTTCCCGAATCATAACAAACACAGTTTAGCTAGTATGAACAAAGAAGGGCTCGCTAAACATTATCAAGAAAAAGTTCGGTAGTTATAATAAAAAGTAAAAATTAAAATAGGGGTGAAAGCTAGCTCCGAGCCTTTTTTTTCTCTTTACGATTAGCGAACATGTTTATGATTATAACTAAACCATATAAAAGCAGTATTTTTATACATTTGTGACTAGCGAACATTTTTCTTGACATACCGTAATAAGCTAACCTCTGAATAGCTGTATTTAAAAAAATAAATTTAAGACTAGCGAATCTCTTTCTTAATTATAAATAGCGCAAAGCATGACTAGTAAATCTTAATTATGAATAGCCAACGTATATGAACAGCGATCCACATCGGCATCATGATTTGCAGCATCTTTTGAAAATAATGTAAACTAATGAGACTAATAGTAATGTGAAGATTATGAACAGTAATAGTTGAACAGCAAACCTTATGCATAGTGAGTTTTACTCAGTCTTTGATCGCCTCTCTCTTTACATCTATGGTGTCTGGATCATCTGAGAGTAAACTTTGGAGTGACATAAATTATTATAAATACTCCCCATGGAGCGGTGGGAATTGCAGATCATGCACATGTTTCTTGATTATAACTAAACCATATAAATAGCGGTCTTTTTATAAAATTGTGACAAATTTGAAATCGATTTTGACTTCATCCAAATTACCTCCTACCACCCAAGAGTATGGAAACACACCATGTTTAAAACGTACCTAGGTGCCAACTTTGCACTGTCATCACAACAGACAGCTTATTCCATGTACCTAGGACAGATTGCACTATACGCACCCCCAGATTAGATTGTGATCACTCTAATGTGGTATATATGATTTACTGCTATAAATTAACATGGGTAATTGTATTGGAGAGACTGGCACTAAGCTTAGATACAGACTCAATAATCATAAAAAATCTATTAGAGATATAAGCAAGGGATTTCCTGTGAGTGACCATTTCAATTCATCCGGGCATTCAATTTCTAATTTTCGTTTCATCATCATAGGCAGTGACTACAAATCTACTAAAGATAGACGTTGCGCAGAGTTACGATGGATAAGTATTTGCCTACTCCACCTACCTTTACATATAACGCCTGAAGTGCCCACGACAAAAATAAATACCGCTAGGATCCCACCGAAAACCAATGTCATAAACATAGTGTACTTGACTGAATACTACATCATAATAGCTCATTTCAATTTTTTTTCTCGTTATCTACTATGGGATGAAGTACTAGGAAATTCCCGTTGCTGTTTCGTTATGTCATCGCCAAATTTAGATAAAAAATTACCCTACATGTATTATTAGATCAGGTGTTTAGTTTTAGTGCCGTTAATTATTTCCTTAAACCTGATTTTACTTACCGATACAATCACAATCATACGGTCATAATGCCATGCTCCGGAAGTAAAACAATATGTTAAACTTCTCATACATCTCCCCTTATTTGTGATCTTTATTGGTTGCCTGTACAGGAAAGCATCATCAGACGTACACACAGGAAACAGAGCACCAGCCAAGTTCAAACTATTGGTGGCTACAATTGCAATAATTGTGGCAGGTTTTGTCGCTCACAAATTGGACTGTTCAGCCATAAACCAAAGTGCAACGGTACATAAAATTAGAAACTCTCAAAAAGATTGCTTCATATCCATCATCCCAAGGATGGAAGGATGCCATTGATTTTTTTTTAATATTGGAAACTTCCCACAATAAATGGGCAACTAGCCTTATAATTCCAATATTTAAAAGAGGAAACTGAGATCAACCTGGAAATTACAGGGGAATATCTCTCATACCAGTGTTAGCCAAAATCTTTTTACACATGAATTTTAGATTAAATCATTGGGCTGACGAAAATAATATTTTACATTAAGAAAAGGCTGGTTATAGAAAGGGGTTTAGGGTATCAGATAATTTATTCATTCTTCATACAATAATTACTAAATACTTATCTAAAAAACGAGGGAGAGTGTATGTAGCATTTATTGATTTTAAACGTGCTTTTGACTCTGTAAGACTACCTTTGTACTAAATTGAACAATACAGGAGTGAAAGGTAAAATGCTCAACATTATTAAATCAGTGTACAGCAAACTTACAGCTCATGTTAGGGTTGAAAATAATACTATTAGTAATTTTAAATGTTCTGTTGGAATTCAACAGGGGCCTCCATTATCATCATATTTATTTAATATTTTTATAAATGATTTCAGTCGAAAGCTAAATGAAGAGAACGAAAACGACAAAATCCAAATAGGTAATAATTAATCATTTACTCTATGCAGATGATCTTATACTATTTAGTGATACTGTACGTGGTTTACAAAATTATTTAAATAAATTATCAAGATATTGTGAGACATGGGATTTAACTGTAAATCTGTAAATGTTAACAAAAGTAACATTGTTGTTTTTAAAAAAGGGAATAAACTTAAGAAATATGAAGGAAAAAAAATTACAATTGGACTACAATCGAAATTTCCAAATCATAGGCCTATAAGTATTTAGGAGTTACTTTAAATTCAAATGGTAAATGGAATAAAGCCAAAGAAAATAATTGTCTACAAGCTAATAAAGCCTTATGTGCTTTGAAGGGGGTAATTCAGGGACGTTTTCGTCATCTATCGATTAATTTATGAATCAAATTTTTGATGTTAAAATATTACCGATTTTACTCTATGGCAGTGAAATGTGGGTTTGGATGATATTTCTCCTATTGATACGATACAAATGAAATTCTGTAATTACATATTAGGAGTTGGCAACTCAGTACCCAATATTAGTGTTAGAGGAGAATGCGGGATAGACCCCATTTGTACATAATAATAATAATAATAATAATAATAATAATAATAATAATAGGCCTAATAATAATAATAATAATAATAATAATAATAATAATAATAATAATAATAACAATAACAACAACAACAATAAAAGGAAGTTGTGCAGTGAGGCTGCTAATAAAATTTAAGAGGATGGCCAGTCAGTATTGATCATGAAAAATACTTCCGTTAGGGGAAACCCACAATGCCGTATGTTAACCAATTTTAACTCGGTGGTATCTGCATCATGTAAACATGATTCAACCTACCGTACTTAAATAGCGGAGTAGACGAAATTGCAACTTCATTGAATTTGGACCAAAAACATTAAAAACCTTTAGGGCCTACATATCGGGACATTTATTACATTTGAGACACGGCTGCTTTCATGTCTACACATTGCAAATAATATCATCAAAAATGGAGATGGAATGTCTGTGATTTGTTCGAAAGGTCCAGATGATGAAATGCCCGGTTTCCGAAAAGTGCAGAATTTATGCACTGTTACGATGTCTCTGCCTTTTGTTTACGCCGTTGGATAAAATGATATATAGAGGAGGTGGTTGCGCTTTGTGCTGGTTTGATATGGATCCAACGATCTCCCGAAAGTCAAAATCATTATATACACCAGAAAAGGTTTGATCAAAACCAAGGAAAAATTAATATGGCCTATACGAGTTGACAGATATTGTGGAATACATATACAAAAGGTGTAGGCCTAATTAAATAATAAAAAAAGATGTGTTGAATACAAAGAGTGCAGTATGCTTATTCCTCCGTGAATAAATAATCACAAACACATTATATAATGTAATATGAATAACAATGACTTATAGGACTATTAATTTTATACGAGTTGACGGATATTGTGAAAATACATAGGCCTATAAAAGAGACGTATTCCTAGTTCAATAAGACGTGTTACCGGATAAAATACTAAATAAACTAAATAAAATTGGCCTTTAGAGTGAGAATCAGATCAGAATCACTATATTATCTCCTAAATAAGAAATTGTTTGCTCGATCAAACCTTTCTTTAAA